AAAAAAAAAAAAAAAAAAAAGCCAAGTGTAAAAGGAAATTATACATTTATGAAAAGTTACATGTGTGCATATATATGTGGAATCTTTTAAAATGTTAAAAAGAGCCAGACTTGGTGGTGCAAACCTGTATTCCATGTACTCTGGGAGGCTGAGACAAGAGAACTATGTTCAATTCCAGCTTGGACAACTTAGTGACTTAGTGAGATCCTGACTCAAAAGTAAAAGATAGAAAAGGGCTAGGGGTGTAGTTTGGTGAGAAGGCTCTGGGTTCTACCCTAGTACCTCATAACAGTCAGAAGAAAACTCAGCACTGTTTAAAAAGTAGAATCTGTTCTTCAGAAAGGTAGATTTCCTTTAATGCTGCAGTGGTGTCATTTAAGCAGTAGTCCTCAGATATTTTTTTTTCCTTGAACCGGGCTCTCTTAAAACAGAATCTTATTTGGAAAGTTCAGGATCGGAGAGGCTTTAAGATTAGTGAGGTAGAAGGTACAGGCTCTTCATCCTGGGCAACCATATTCCAAGGCAGAGGCAGGGTCAGGGAAGCCAGAATTCCAGGGATCTGAGTATGAAACTATCTGGGTTAGAAAACCTTAGGGCATAAGCTGTCTTTCAAAAATCAGTGACATGAAGAGTTCTGGTGAGGGGGACTGGCTAACTTGTACTGCAGTCCGTTCCCAGGGTTTTCAGCAGTGTCAGTCTGTGTGTGGCTTCTCATGCAGAGACATGAGTGATTACTTTTTAAAAATGCATCCTTCAGCCTGACTTATACAAAAAAAGGATTCTGTACACATTTTTGACAAGATCGGCTTTAAAAAGTCCCTTTAAAGTTGTGACAGCTGTATCACTATTGAAAGCTATTTAGTATTTTAACTGGCTATTGTTTAGCGTGACAAATGACTCAGGGAAAAACAAGGAGTCAGAAAATACACATATTACTCGTGTTTACTATCTGCTGTTTTTTGTTGTGTGAAAGCAGCTGGTCTGCATCTATATAGTGAAGTGTTTTTTTAGAGTTAATTTTTACTTAATGAGCTCTCATAAGAAAAATAATCTCAAATGCTAAGTATTTGTTAGGTTGTTGTTAATAGCAGGAGTAGTAATATTACATTGTCTTTTTATCATGCATTGAGGAGGGATCCTGGTGACAGCTGGAGGGTGGGGGAGGGGAATCACTTTCAGTCACCCAGCTGCCGTGTGCAGCATCATGATGGTGATATTTCAAAGCCAGTGGATAATTTTGGCTGTGTTCAGAAAAGAAAATGTATCACATTTCTGGGATGCAATAGATGGTGTGCAAGAAACCTTTGGGATTTAGACGGTTGCCAACTAACAGTGTATGCATGCAGGTTTGCATGTTGGTATCAATTACAATCTAGTTTCTTGGACATTATTACCTGCACATCATGATTATAAAGCAGTAAAGTGTAGTTTCAGGAGGGGAAAGGCTCATTACTGTAGGGAGAGGGAAGGAGAGAAAAACAAACTTTGGTGATATGCTGTGTGCTTTCCTAATGTTATTTCATTTATTCTTCACAGTGAATTTTTCCCCCCATCTGTGGCTAAAGATGCAGAAGCAGAACTAGAGTGATTATATGACTTGCCCAAGGCCGCATACAAGTCAGTGATGGTGCCCAGATTTACCCCAGATCTTCTGATTTGAGCTCCAGGAATGTTGTCATTACACCAGCAGCTGATTTGTCACAGTGCTGACTTTCTTATGCATTTTTAATCCACAATCCCACTATTGGGATACTAATGAGTGAGATTTATACACATTACAGTTTTATATAAAACACATATGTGTGTGTATGTGTATGTGTGTCTGTGTTGGTAGCTGCATATAATTTTGCAGTTTTTCCTTGAGGAAAAAAGTCCCTTGGGCAACATTGAAAGAAACTGTGCCACCTTTTCTCATGTGACTGGTACAGCAATTTTGCCGTTATGAGTGTTGATCAGTTGTGATTCCAAATTTAAACAAAGGTAGAAATACTGTACATACTGCCTGTGCAGTCTCTTCCTTCACACCAACATATTAAAAGATACTCCTTTTGTGTCTTTCAAGGCAGGTTAATTTTATATTAATAAGGGATTATTTTAGCTTTCTAAATTCTAGCCTGTAGCTATCATGTCCATCATGACTGGAGTAGGTCATGACTGAGGATGACTCCTTTTATTTTCCTGAAATGATGCTCCGTTTTAGATGGCGAGTTTTCAGGAGTCAGCTCATCTCATTGCCACAGACTGCCTGCAGTAGAAATGTCTTTTTCTTTTTCTCTCTTCACACCCCATGTAA